ACATAGGCACACACACACATCGGGTCTAACAAATAACAAATTCCATGGCCTAGTTTTATACCTATTCTTCATTGTAACAAGAATTGCTTAAGTTGAATTATTCCTATAAATTTCAAACTTTAGAAAAGATTACTCTCGTAAAACGAATTTCGTAAACAAACACATTAAACCGGAGTGATCTTCCCTAAACTTTCTCGGCAGTAAGGAGGTTAATAGTATCAGTGCTTGAAAGAAAATTTTTTTTTCATTTTTTAAATACTAAATTGAAAAAAAAATTGAATCGATAAGAGCAAAGTATTGCTCACCAAATGAACGTGCACAAATTAGCGGAAAATGAGTATTTTAAGAAGTTTTAATTAACTTTTTAAAATTGAATAAAACATCTGATTAAGTCAAATTTTATGTCACAGTGCATTGTCATCATATAATATGAAATTTGGTCAACATAACCGAAATGGTGTGCAAGTTATTAGAGACACACACACAAATGAACAGGATGCATTAACTAAGTTTTTTTCAAGCTTCAAAAAGTTACAATACGTCACAATTATTCAAAATAATTATTTAGATTTTTGCACGACAGAAGGAATTTTTTTAAATGAAATTCTAATATGGCAATTTTCTAAATAATTTTTCTAAATAATATTTCTAATTTTTTCTTCTAAAAATTATTTATTCGCCCAAGAGACCTGAGGCAGATGAAGTAGTTTTAATGAGCTCGGTTTGGTCAGCATTTTATTTCCTAATGTGAGTGAGGTACCCAACAGTGCTGGATAGACTCAGGGTTGTCCTACAGACTCGAGCCCGGGATCTGAACTCGAGACTTTTGGAGTAGCACGCCATCCCATAATTTTCTAAATACGTATCAATTATTTCACCAAGGCCAAACCATTAGTTTCTTAATTATTTTTAAAAGCTCGTTCTTATTTTTTACGGAAAAATTTACTACTCAATTTCTACAAAACGTAGATATTCGTTGCTCTGCAACTTAAGGTCATAGACAAGTTGATCATGTTTGTTAATGTCCTAGGTAAGTTGGTCGTGTTTGGTAAGGTCCTAATTATGTTGGTTATGTTTGTTAAGTTCATGTTTGTTAATGTCCTAGGTAAGTTGGCCGTGTTTGGTAAGGTCCTTGTTATGTTGGTTATGTTTGTTAAGGTCATGTTTGTTAATGTCCTAGGTAAGTTGGTCGTGTTTGGTAAGGTCCTAGGTATGTTTTTTATGTTTGTTAAGGTCATGTTTGTTAATGTCCTAGGTAAGTTGGTCGTGTTTGGTAAGGTCCTAATTATGTTGGTTGTGTTTGCTAAGGTCATGTTTGTTAATGTCCTAGGTAAGTTGGTCGTGTTTGGTAAGGTCCTAATTATGTTGGTTATGTTTGTTAAGTTCATGTTTGTTAATGTCCTAGGTAAGTTGGCCGTGTTTGGTAAGGTCCTTGTTATGTTGGTTATGTTTGTTAAGGTCATGTTTGTTAATGTCCTAGGTAAGTTGGTCGTGTTTGGTAAGGTCCTAGGTATGTTTTTTATGTTTGTTAAGGTCATGTTTGTTAATGTCCTAGGTAAGTTGGTCGTGTTTGGTAAGGTCCTAGTTATGTCGATTATGTTTGCTAAGGTCATGTTTGTTAATGTACTAGGTAAGTTGGTCGTGTTTGGTAAGGTCATAATTATGTTGGTAATGTTTGTTAAGATCATGTTTGTTAATGTCCTAGGTAAGTTGGTCGTGTTTGGTAAGGTACTAGGAAAGTTGATTAATATCGTGAAGAATAGTGAATCTTCTGGCACCAGGTTGACTGACATTGTTCACTGCACCTAATGCCTCTAATTTTTTATACTGGTTATGTTTTAAACAACGACTGAGAAGTTAACAACAATCTCGTCGGGACGAACTTTGTCCTCGTTGCCATCTCTTAACACGCAGATTTTGAACTTTGACCTGGCTATTTAAAAAAATGTGTCCAAAGAGCATTCCTATTCGGAAATTAAAGATACTGTCATTAAGTTAGTGTGTAAAAATATTAAATTCTTTTTTTGCTCATTGTCGTGAAGTTGTGAAAAAAAACCTTAATTAAAGTTTAATTTGTAACTTTATTCGTCGTTGTTAACTGATCATCTCGAGGATACTTCAAAAACAAACATCAACAGCCCAACAAACTTTTTTACTATCACGATCTCACTTAAACTCTTTTGTCTACCAACCCACACAACTTTTGTCTACCTGCCAAAACAACTTTTGTCTACCTGCCCCTACAGGGTTTGTCTACCTGCCAAAACAACTTTTGTCTACCTGCCCCTACAGGGTTTGTCTACCTGCCAAAACAACTTTTGTCTACCTGCCCCTACAGGATTTGTCTACCTGCCCCTACAGGATTTGTCTACCTGCCCCTACAGGGTTTGTCTACCTGCCCCTACAGGGTTTGTCTACCAGCCAAAATAACTTTTGTTTACTTGCTAACACAAATGTTGTCTACCTGCTCACACAACTTTTATCTACCTGCTCACACAACTTTGTCTACATGCTCACACAACTTTTGTCTACCTGCTCACACAACTTTTGTCTACCTGCTCACACAACCTTTGTCTACCTGCTCACACAACTTTGTCTACCTGCTCATACAACCTTTGTCTACCTGCCCCCATATCTTATGTCTACCTTTCCCCATTTCTGATTATACGTGTCCCCCATATCTAATGTTCACCTTATATCTTAATTCACACCTATCAGCCATGATTGAGTTTTGGTATGTTTTAAAACACTCTAAATTTCAATTTAAAATCTTGGCAGTAGACACTATCTTTTAACCTGATGTCACAATGTCCATTTAGTTTTAGGGAGTGCTAGGCTTATACCTCCACTATTTACGATTAATTTACGATAAAATTTGCTTCTCGCCAAAACGTTATCAAAATTTCTATAAAAGTATATTATTAGAAGGTTCGGGAAATATTATTTAGAAATGGTTATTATAAAAGTTACCATTTGAAACGTTGCGGAGCAGGTGAAGTAGAATCAATCCGTATCTGTGTCCTCGGTATATAAAGGATAGTGTAATCAGCATTATGCCCTGCTACTATTACTTTCAAAAGCGTTAGGTAGGTACCCATTTGAGCTGGGTGGACTCATGGACTTCCCACGGATTCAAACCCGAAATCCGTTTTGGAGATTTATTAGTGTGAGGTAGCTGTCAATGGGAGATGACTACAAGTTTATCATTTTAGTGCCAATGTTTTTTTCCGCCCTGTAGGTGCTATATTACTGCATTACTCTCTCTGTTAAAAAACTTCGTCAGAATTATCTCTATCATTTGAGTTACATTACTTGGTCAGTGGTATATTTCGCTCCTTGTGGATGTTACATAACTTCGTCAAAACAATCTCTATCATTTGAGTCACATTACTTGGTCAGTGGTCTCACTGTTAGTCTGAGCGATGCATTACTGCGTCAGTTCTCTCTCAATCCCAATATGTTCCAAATTGTTGTGATAGTGGTCGCTCGATCCCAGTAAGTGCTACATTACTGCGCCATTTGTGTCTCCATTACAGCAGGTGCTACATTACTGTGCCAGTGGTCTCTCCATCACTATCTGCGCTATATTTCTGCGCCATTCGTATCTACATCCCTGTAAGTGCTACATTACTACGTCAGTAGTCTCGTCTGCTCCACAGATGTTACAGTTACATAACTGAGTCATTGGGTTTACCTGCATTGTCACAATTGCTTAAGGCTTGTTAACTATGCATACATGGTTAATCAAAGTTCATTGTAAAACAGCTGGCAAGTGTATATTCAATTACGATACAATACATAAAACATGTCTGGAATAATGAGTAGATTCAAGGTGATGGTAAAGTTGTGTGAGCAGGTAGACAAAAATTAGGTTAGCAGGTAGACAAAAGTTGTGTGAGCAATTAGACAAAAGTTGTGTGAGCAGGTAGACAAAAGTTGTGTGAGCAGGTAGACAAAAGTTGTGTGAGCAGGTAGACAAAAATTAGGTTAGCAGGTAGACAAAAGTTGTGTGAGCAATTAGACAAAAGTTGTGTGAGCAGGTAGACAAAAGTTGTGTGAGCAGGTAGACAAAAGTTGTGTGAGCAGGTAGACAAAAGTTGTGTGTGCAGATAGACAGAAGTTGTGTGAGTAGGTAGACAAAAATTGTTTGATTAGGTAGACAAATTTTATGTGAGCAGGTAGACACAAGTTGTGTAAGTAGGTAGAAAAAGGATGTGTGATAAGGTAGACAAAATTTGTGTAAGCAGGTACATAAAAATTAGGTGAGCAGGTAGACAAAAGTTGTGTAAGCAGGTAGACAAAAGTTGTGTGAGCAGGTAGACAAAAGTTGTGCTAGTATGTCTATAAAAGCAGTGTGGGTAGGTAGACAAAAGTTGTTTAAGCAGGTAGACAAAAGTTGTGTGAACAGGTTTACAATCCAATTTCAAAATACTCCCACTTGAGAATAAATATACATTTTTATCTTTAGAATATCTATTATGAAATATATTAATATATACAATCATGCAAAAAAATCAAACGAAAATTGTAATGTTTAAAAATGTGTGAGCAGGTAGACAAAAGTTGTGTGAGCAGGCAGACAAAAGTTGTGTGAGCAGGCAGACATTAATTGTGAGAGCAGGTAGACAAATGTTATGTTAGCAGGTAGACAACGGTTGTGTAAGCAGGTAGACAAAAGTTGTTTAAGCAGGTAGACAAAATTTGTGTGAACAGGTTTACAAACCAATTTCAAAATACTCCCACATGAGAATATACATTTTTATCTTTAGAATATCTATTATGAAATATATTAATATATAAAATCATGCACACAATCAAACCAAAATTGTAATGTTTAAAAATGTATCTCTTGTCTTTTGTCCAAAACCAGCAAGTAACGCGGGTATTAACATTTTTACATTGATTACATTAGCATATCTTTTATGTAATGTAATTAGCAATGTACAACGTGACGCATTAGTTCCTTTAAATATCACTGGAAAGGTGCATGGATTGTGTCTTACTTCACAAGCAGCAGAAAACTAACGAAAAACAAGAGATCTGTGAAGAATGGCGTTCCTCTGGGGTCTTACAGTCTTGATGCTGATGTCTTGCACAACCAGTACAGCAGACGACAAAGGTATGAAGGTAGTTGTGTAGTTACATATGGTGTTCGCACTAGTCAGTGCAGACAGTCGTGTCAGAAATAAGTTCCTTACACCGCGATTACACCTGCGACATGTATACAATACATGTATCGATAAAATAACTTCGCAACATGTTAATTTATCGGACCATGAATAGGTACTAATTGTGAAATTTATTGTTACAGACATATATAATATTTATTTTGTCATTTTAAATGCAGCATTATAATCATATTTTAAAAAATCCAACCTTTTCTTCGTCAATAGAAATCGGTTATAAAATATATCTTTCTTTTCTAGAATACTCTGAAGCCTTTTTGAAACTTCTCTACGTTTTCAACGGGAAATTTTCTGATGGTCCTGTCGTGGAAGCTTACAAGAACGTCAAAAAACCAAAAGTTGACGTACCGAAACTTTTGTACGTGACGGCCACACCAGTAGAGATCCCAGCACTTGCACCGGTAGGTTGTCTGTTGTATATTAAATCTTTGTTATTCCGACTGGTAGTGTTCTTTGCAACTCTAAGGGTTTTGATCTTCTGCTTTTAGTTCTAAATTGTAATGCTGAAAAGGATTTCTTTGAACCGTTTCTACTTGTTATGTTTTAAGCACAGAATTTAATGTCTCGCTGTTCCGAACTTTTTCTTCTTCCTCGTTCTTAACTCTAGTGATTTAAAGGATTTTCTAAAACACAGTTAAGTATTATGTGTCAACTAGTTATGCGCCATATGGCCCGTTGACTTTGATTTTAGCCTGATTTTCTTTAAGTATATCCTTCCATAGCCTTTGTCCAACCAAGAACAAACTACAAAGCAGCAGTTGTTTGATTTTGGAGTTTACTCTCCTAGATGGGTTGCGGTCCCCAGCTATCGGGCTTCATCTGCCCGTAAAGGGTGGGGTGGTGTGTGTTTGTGGGAGGGGGTGGGGCAGGGAAGGAGGTAAGATTAAACTTGGTTCAGAAACCTAGAGCTTTACCGACCTTACCAGGCGTGGAGTGTGGTCTAATACACATTTCATATATTCCCTTATGTTTATTATCTGTTAGACAATTTCAAATAAATTAATTACATTATTAAGATTTGCATGATATTTTGTTAATTTTATTAAACAAAAAATATTATTTTTCTAAAATATTTTGTCTTTTTTTAATCCGTCTTCATAATGTACAGATTGAGGAAACACATTTTACCCATTATCTTTGAAGTTTTCTCCTTTTTTGCTGATAAATGTACGTCTACCAAACAAAACTTAAAAACAAGTGCTGAATCAACAACAAAATGCCCTGATTTCACAAAGCCATGGTTTCCGTTCTGAACCGAAGACACGCATTTCTCTTCTTTCTGTTTTGCAGGCAGTGACATTCTACTACGAGAAATATGTTGAAAACAGTCTGTACCGCCGTTTGATTCTGGTTTTCAAAGAAGAAAACGGACAGATTTTCGCACAACCTTACAACATCACTTCCCCTCCTAACGATCTGTAGGTCATATTTATTTTTAAACATTTACTTTAATGATATAATCTGTAAAATATATTTACTCATTATTTATTTTAGTTATTTAACAGAAAAACTATATGGTTAAATCTAATATTTTAAAGGTATCTGTATTTAATTATTCCTCATGAATCGGTCTATGTTTTTATGTATGTATTAAATTCTTTTCTTAAGCGTGTATCTACTGTCAAGTATTTAGTTAACCCCTCTTCTTGATGATTTAGTGCTATTAATTTGTTGATTTTTTAATCTAAAATACGGCACTTTAACCTAAACAGGTCCAAGCCTTTCACCATTGACCAAGTCAAGAAGCTGACTTCAAATGACTTGACCACAACAGACGCTTGTAAAATCCAGTTCACTCGTAAGGGAGCCAACTCATTCACAGCACTCTGGCCAGATTGTAAAGTCCAGGATAATGGGGTAAAATTATTTTTGGTTATGGTTTTAATTTAGGAAATATCAATCTTTAAAAAATAATATGTAATGACTATTTCCACACCGGTAAAGTTTCTCATTGTTGACTTTTCGCCGTAAAGAAATTGTCAATATGTTAGACAAAATTGAGAGCCGGATGTTAGCCCGAAGACTATTTGCCCAAATGGACGTTAGGCTGAATAAGAAAACTGCCCGTGTCTATCGGGCATTTGTTTCATTAGGGCACATAACGATCCGAGAAATTGTCACATTTGGGCAAACGTCCATTCGGATAATTGTCGCATTTGATTTAACGTATATTTGAGCAAAGGGCCTTAGATCAATTGTTCATTCGGCAAGTGTGTTTAGGGCATAGACAACCTTAAAAGTAAAGCAACTAACATATGGTGAACGCAGCGAAACATTACCTGGAAGAAGGCATTATGAAAGGTGATTTGGTACAATAATATGGAGGCTAAACTATGTGGTTAATGCGATTTCATAAACTAAACAAGAAAAGACGACGTACACTTTTATACCAAAAAGATACATTTAAAGTTGTGGACTTACAGATAACAAACGACTATCTTTATCCAGGTTTTTCCAAAGTACCATCTGACCTGGTCTTGCGACTCTCTGATGGCAATCATTAGTAGCCCTAAGCATCTTGATTACACTACATCACCTGTAGCTTTGATCAGGGAAGCACCAAGGTAAGACGGTGATTACAAAAATGAGCAACAAAAATGGTATCGGTGGCACTATAGACTATATATATGTGGGTCAAATTACAAGAACTACAGAAATTCATATTATTGCCTACCGTCCTCTTTAAAAAAAAAAAAACCACTTCATCCACAAGCCTCATAATGTTTACCGAAATCTGTTACTGATTAAATAGAGACACGGAGCGATAAATGCATGTTTTTCTTTCTGTATGTCTCTATCTACTACTAATTGGTCCACAGTGAATAAAAATAACGTATTGGAGCTAAATGATTTATTTAATACAATCAACGTCAACATTTATATTACATGCAAATAAGTTTATAAAATGAAAATACAAATAATTAAAATAGCGTGAAAACAGTATCCAGAAGAAAATAAAATCTCGGGTGAAGCAATCAAAGTGTGAATAAATGGTTTGATTTTGTCAACGGCATTTGAATGAAGATAAGTCGTTTGAAATATTTTTTTCGTCAAACATTAGTGACTGCACTAAATCTTCGCTGCACTACATGATGAAGCGAACGCAATCAAAGAACTTCTGTAAGAGATCATAATCTCATAATTTAGCATTTGGTATTCAATTTAGGTTTGAATACTAGAAACATGAGTCGAATACATACCATAGAATACGATGTCAATGAAAACATACATTTTTTCGCTAATCAACACTATATTGTATCCGAATTTTCTTTTTATTATTTAAATAAAATATTAGCACACATGTGCGTTATCTACACTTTTCCTTTATCTCGTAAGGAAACAATGAATTTATTCTTGAATCATTCACTACCCCCCTCCCCTTTTTTTTGGGGGGGGGGGGGAGGGGGTACTCAACGCCCCATTGTTTGAATACAAATCTTCTACCGCATCCCTCATATAAAACATTCGGTCAGGGGGGAACGGGTTGTTATATCGCCCAGTTTGAGAATCACAGTTCTGGAATAAAAGAGAGTAAACGTCTTTAATATCGATCCTTTTTTTCTAAATATCTTAAATTTTAAAATAGGTAAATTTATTTTGACCGGCCTGACAGTATGCTATTGAAAAATAAGAGTGGACGAGTGGTACTGTACTAATTAACTAGGTAGTTATGATTGATTATACTGTTTTTTTACAGGTATCCTTTTCCATCGTATCTGAAGGCAGTGGAAGACAATAGTTTCTGCCAGTAATATTTATTTACTGAGGACCTGATTGAGAAAACAGTCTTGGAGGTTTCGAAAAAATGATGTTGTGGAGAGTTTGTAGAAGTGGTGTATTAATTCTTAATTTTAATGTTTCAACTCACTAATTTAACACTAGAAATGACAACTATTTATCAAAAATATGTCTAGTAAAATTAAGGTAAACCATTCTTAAATAAAAACTTGTTTGAGTTTTAATAATTCTTGAATAAGGTTAATTTCATTACCCTAAAAAATAAAGAGTATTTTTTCAATAAATCTTAACATCAGTAATGTGAATTTGTAATTAGCAAATACGGATGTCAGTTATTTTTGTCTCTACCGACTCTGTTGAACCTTGTTCCACTCATTTACTTTTCGTTTACCTGTCAATTCCACAGTTTTGATTGAATAAAAGATTCAAAATTGTATTCTCTTTACGAGTCATTTTTGGTGTGGTGCTGTTGAGAGTAAAACTGAGAACAGGCAACATCAAAGTGGTTAACCAACACTACCCATTTAAAAAAAAAATAACGGCGATGTTAAATATTAGAGATCGTATTTTTGGTTCCAGTTTATAGGGCGTCCATGAGTCTACCAAGCTTTGATGGGTACATGACTCACGATAGGAAAGTAAATGCAGCTGTGTTTTTTTTAATATTTTTAACACTTTACTGACACAACAAAGTAAATATAAAAACAATAAAACGATTTTCTAAAGATAATTTATTGAGACGAAGATTTTAGACACCTTTTACTCGCATGAAACTTTGTCCTCGACTTCCTTCAGGTACGACGGGAAAGGGTAACTGTAGGAATCATTTTGTAATCAATTAATAATAAAAAATTCTTATTACTTTCATTTCTAACCTAAAACACACTCTCACACGTGCTAGAATCTCACACAAACATAAACACTTACTTATCACATAGGCACACACACACACAAAGTGTCTAACAAATAACATATTCTATGGCCTAGTTTTAAAAAAAATTCTCCATTGTAACAAGAACAGCTTAAAGCTTAAGTTGAATAGTTCTTATCAATTTAAAACTTTAGAAAAGATTACTCTTGTGAAACAAATTTCGTAAACAAACACATTAAACCGGAGTGATCTCCCCTAAACTTTCTCGAATAGGGTAATAAGAGTAAGGAGGTTAAACGTATAAGTGCAATCCGCCTATAGAAAGAAATGTTTTGTTATCAATTTTTTAGATACTTAATTGAAAACATTGTTAATTGAATCGAGTAGAAGAAAGTATTGCTCACCTAATGAGTGTAAACATTGTGTGCACAAATGAGCGGAAAGTGAGCGCTTTTAAAGAAGTTTTAAAATTAATTTTTAAAACGTTAATAAAACATCTAGGCCTAATTAAGTCAAATTTTATGCCACAGTGCATTGTCATCAAATCTTGACCTCGTGAAACGTTTGAAACAATCAATCAATACAAGTGATATTTTTGAGGAAATCATTAAAACAGGGTACGTATATTTTCCGATTACCGGAAAACGCGCAAAAGCTCACAGAAAACAGCAAATTTTAAATAATATTACTATAATAATATGAACTTTGGTCACCATAACTGAAACGGTACACAAGTTATTAGAGACACACACAAACGGACATGTTGCCACAACTAAGTTTTTCCAGCTCCAGAACTCTACAATGCGTCAAAATTAGTCTAAATCCCGATTTAGTTTTTAGCACGACTATCTTTATATTTCCTATACAATACAGTGTGGAAACTACTAAAATTCAATTTTTTTTCTGCTGATTTCCAAAACTCTTTTGCCCGATTATTCTAGCTTACTTTTCATCTTTTTAAACCATGTTATTCTATCCATATGATAAACATGACCATCTCACCGTGAACCTTCCCTGATATTGACTATGGGAGAGGCCGAGTACTCGTCTTGATTAGGGTTGTTAGCGATGATCAGTAATGAGTTGCACGACCAAGTCATTACGTATTTTGGTACAACCTGAAGGAAATTTTCTTTATGAAAATCTAACAATGGAATTTTCTAAAAAAAAAAAAAACTTTTCCCGTTGGTGCCCAAGACACACGAGGCAGATGAAGTAGAGTTAATCAGTTTCAATGACATCGGTATGGTCATTATTTGCTTCGCTAATGTGAGTGAGGTACCCATCAGTGGGTAGACTCAGGGATGTCTAACAGACGCGAGCCCCGGGATCCGAATTCAAGACTTTTGGAATAGCTCACCATCCCATAATTTTCAAGATGCGTATCAACAATTCCACCCGGGCCAAATGCTTTTAGAAATACACCCCAAACATCACCATTAGGTTCTTAATGATCTCCGCCTTTAAAAAAATGTTTTCCAAGTCGTCATTCTTTTACGGAAAAATCGGAAATATTTACTACTCGATTTTTACAAAACGTAGATTTTTGTAGTTTTACAACTGAAGTCAAAAACAACAACAACACAGTATTTTGGTAATGTTTTTAAATTTAAAAAGATTCCTTACTATCTGGGCATTTAACCATAACAAAGCTCACCCCGTTTTCCTTATCGTCGCAGTCCGGCAGAAATGAAGTGAATGTGTGTACCCCTTTACGTTCAAACTTCGCCTTACACTCCTGTCTAGTTTTCAAGTCGCTTGATGTTAACAGCTTGATTTGGTCGAGAGTAAAGCTCCTAGACCTGTTTTAGAATATTTTTAAAACAATAATTTATACTCTTATTCTCGACTAATTAAATGAGCAGCCTGGTGGATATTTATGGTTATTTAACCATCATCCCTCGTTTAAAATTCAAAATCTCGTTCGTTAGGGAGCTATATGCTATGATATTATGCTAAACCATTAACTATCTTAGTCTAAAATAAATACAAAGTGTTAACTATATGCATAGCTACATATATGTACATATGTACATAGTAAATGTATAATGTTGCTATATGTATTTTAATTAAGTAAATAGTATTCTTGATTTGCTAAAATATATCTACATGTCATTTGAAGGGGACGTGATGTTGTAAGGTTGCAAGAACATCTCTCCGTTGCTGTTTTCCCAGAGTACACAGATGAGACGACGGAGTAAAGTTTTCTCAAAATACTCCTCAAAGAAGTAGGTCACTGCCTGAAAATATTTGAGAAAGTGGAGCCAAACTTTTTACTCTATGCACTTTTTGTCTCTAATGTTTATCAGTGATAATTTTTTTTACAGGGGATTGGTAAAGCTAAATATTTTCTAGAAGGATGGGGAGAGGGGGGGGGGGGGGGGAAGGGGAAAGGAGGTCAAGCTAAAACTCGTAGTAAACTATTTTATATACGTTTCTATTTTCGTTTTATCGTTATATATATATATATATATATATATATATATATATATATATATATATATATATATATATATATATATATATATATATCTATATATATATATATATATATATATATATATATATATATATATATATATATATATATATATATATAATGTATAAATATTTCAATCCCGATCACTTTTTAGCAATCAGCGTAAGAGCAAAGGCTGACCGATAGTTTATCCGTATTGCCGATTCATTTCCTCAGGTCTATAGAAAAACTGAGCCGGATGTACTGAGGCACAGTGCCCTAAAACTGTTTTGCAAATAGTCATCGTTTTTCACGAAAATAACAATGTTTATAAAGGGAAATTCGGACCGGTCACTTCTAAAGCCGTTCCGCAAATTTCCCGAAGATATCATAGTTTTTTATTGTTACCCCCGAGGATCTGTCTACGACCTCAGGAATTATGAAGGGTTTCCTACGTGGGGAATAGTTTTCGCTTTGTAGCCAATATAAGTCTCCCGTCAGTTGCTGTCAGTTTTGACCCACCCCCTCTTCATGAACTTCGTGGGCGACCGTCACCGGCCCCCGTGTTCGGTTAGCCCGATTCAGGATCCTGCCAAAGCGCTTGCGGTGCCGGAAAGTGCCCTATCGGGCAACCGACCACTTTTCTTTATATATATTTTAGAGTTGTCTTTCCTCGTCTAACCGGGAGTCATCGCTCAGAACTTTTTGAGGTAGCAAATATACACTTTCCTGCCCGACCATGCCATCCATCAGAAACGACACTGACACGACACTGACACGACACTAACACGACACTGACACGACACTGACATGACACTGACACGACACTGACACGACACTGACACGACACTGACACGACACTGACATGACACTGACACGACACTGACACGACACTGACACGACACTGACACGACACTGACACGACACTGACACGATACTGACACGACACTGACATGTCTCTGAAATGATTCTGACTTTATGAATTCTTTTCTTACCGGTGCCAAAGCTGGGATCTCGACTGGCATCGCCAGTAAAACTCCAGCGGACGGTACATCAACATCTGGGTCATTGATGTTTTTGTAAGCTTCCACCAGCCTTAGATCAGAAAACTTGCCGTTCAAAACGTAGAGAAGGTTGGAAAATGCTTCAGAATAGTCTAAGATAAATTAAGAACAATACATAGAAAAATGAAAATTGAAAGAATTTTTGGAAGAGACGAAAGAACATACAGTAAAAATTGTGTAACATCTATACATTTCTTCGACCATTAGAAGCCATGTTTATATTTGAAACTGATCCTCAGCGTATACATGAAATTCGGAGGGAGTGGTCTAGCTGTAGAGAGCTGGACTGCTAACCCGAAAGTCTCGAGTTCGAATCAGGGTTCAAGTCAGTAGACCGTACCTGAGTCCACTTATCTCTGATGGGTACCTAACCCACGTAAGGGAAAGTAAAGGCGGATGGGCATAGTGCTGACTACACTATCTCTTTATATGCCGAAGTCACAGAAATAAGTGAACTCTACTTCACTTGCCCCATAGACCGTCAGGTTTGAAAGGAAAACTTTTACTTATACATGAAATTTAAAATGAAATTCTAATAAACATCAAGTAAATAAAAAGTCTAGTGACAATTTAAGCGCAATTTCCTTATGTTATCCATAACAATTTTTTATTTTTTTGTGACCGAACGAAAGGATATTTTTTTGCGCTAAAAACCTACACCATGCTCAGTTTAAATTAAAAATATCATCCTAGGCCTACACGATGCTCAGTTTAAATGTTATTAATTAATTTTTTGTGACCGAACGAAAGGATATTTTTGAAAACTTTCTTCGGCAATATTGTTCTAAATTATGGCAGAAATCGATTGGTAAATGTTTCAAGTCGCTACGTTGTCTGGTTGCCGAGATATGGGCCAAAAACTGCATTTTTGCGAGGTTTTTTGGCTTTTCAGGGAAATCCAGGAAGGAATTCCGGGAATTGTTTTGGCCCACAATCATCCTCGGAACTTGCTTAACATATTTGCTTTGGAACTAGTCCTCGATATTGCTTCGCTGAGGAGGAGATACGACTTAAAGCTGCGGACACACATCCATCCATCCATTGATTCATTCATTCATCCATCCAGAAATGACGAGTTAATAATCGCAATTGTCCGTATGGAAATTGCGCTAAAAAACATAAAGCGATGATAAAGCAACAACAACAACACTAATAGCAACAACGACAACACATGTACAGTATCTTGATACGAATCAGTGTTTCTTCCAGACTTTTTTCATCGGGCCGAAATCGAAATGCTAGACCTTTTCCAAAAACTAAGTTCGCCTTAAACCTTACATCCCCAAATACTAAACTTTTGCGAAAACTCTAGAACGATAGCATAAATATAACAATAACTATAATTAATTAATTTAAAGTGAAACAAAGGAAAATACAGTTGTATTATCCACATATTATAAACCTACTTTGAGTTTCCGTAACCTGGTAATCTCCTGTACTGGTCCTACAGGAGATTAACAGTAAAATTGTCGAACACCAAAGGGACGTCATTCCTGTGTGACTTGCTTGGGATATGTTTTTATTGGCTTCTCTTTGGAGACGAGCAAATGCAAGAAACAAGAAAGCAACATGCGGTAGTTATATACGCTTTTGAATAGAAGATCATAAAAATTCTAATATATTTCATGCAACAATAGCTATTTGAATATTGTTTAATCATTACATTAAGTTGTCTAGATCAGACAAGTCTTTGAAATAATAAATAAAGGGTAATATATGTATTGTTTTTTAAACGAAACTTATCACATTTAATGTTCATTTATCTAGATATATAATTATAAAATAATAATTAACTTTTATTAGCTAACTGGGTTTGCCTGCTCACAAATATTTTTGTTTTTCTTTTCATAATGCTATTCCACATTCTGACGTATAGCTTTTGTGTACAAATTCGCACATGTTGTCTGTCTATCACACAAATTATGTGTAGCCTTCGTATCGACATACATTTCCTTGTCTCTTCACACAAAATGTATCAATCTTTTCAATTTTTTTTATAAACATGCTCACAATATTTCTTTTCAACCTGGTCAAATAACGTTAATTAACCTGCTCATAAAATCAATTTATTTAACATGTTTATCTGTTTACATTTTTAGCATAGACCTGCTCACAGTGTTTATCAAGCTGCTCACACGTTGTTTACTGTCCTGCTCCCACTTTTTGTTCAGCTCAACACGTTTCATCTAGCCGATGACAATCTGTTCACACACATCTTATCTATATTTAACACAAATTTTATCGACATAAATTTTTCCTGTTCACAAAACTATTGTCAACCTGCTCACACAACTTTTAGCAACATGCGAACACACATATTGCGGTTTATACTCGTTATCTTCGCAATAAAATAAAAAAAATAATAAACTATGCTTGAGTTGACAGGGTACAATTTTAACAACCGATCTGCAAGTTTATGAACAAAACCCTTTTGTATTCATCTTCGAAGTATCGAGCATGTTTGTATTTGTCATTGTCTCAAATGCCACAAATTAACAAGAGAAATATGTATACATTATTTTTATCTTTCGTTCATTCCCAACACACTTAAGGCAGATGAAGTAGAGTTCATCTGATTAATAGACATAAAGATAGTGTATGCAGCACTATGTTCTCCCTAACGTGAGTCAGGTACCCGTTAGAGCTGGGTAGACTCAGTAATATGCTATTGTATTATATACATTTAAGAAGCACCCAGCATGTTATTAAAACGTTTATATTTATTTTTGTTTGTACGTACACATTAATGTTTATTCTTCTTTTATTAGAAATTTAACTAAAAAGTTAACATTTAAGAACTGCGTGAAACAAATAGTCTTTATATTTAATATCGACGATATAATTTTCGTGAAGTCAATAGTTGTTAGAATTTAACCAAACAAAGTTGATGTTCTTAATGGTGTCCTTATTCCACCTTTCCACATGTTTCTTCATCAATATTTTACGTCGTATTAGTTCACACACATTTTTGAGCTCTTTTTCTTTCGCTACAGATATAGAGTTTCGTTTGATTTTAAAATAAAACTGAAACAACCAAGTTTATTTTCCAATGATTATATTTTTATTGATACGACGGTTTCAGGCACAATTTACTCGCATGAAACTTTGTCCTCGACTTCCTTTAGGTATGGCGGAAAAGGGAACCTGTGGGGGACATTTTTTAATTAATTAAAAAAAAATATTACTCAGGAACTCACACACAAACACATACAACAGTCACTGTATCACACAAAAATCTGAAATAATAATATATTCTATAATCTAGTATTAAATATTCTCCCTAGTAAAAAGAATAGCTTAAATTAACGTATTTCTCTCAATTATAATTTCATAATAGAGAAGATCACTCTTTGTAAAAAAAATTGTAGACACCACACAATAAATAAAACCGGAGTAATCTCCACAAAACTTTCTAGTATAGTGTAATATAATAGTAAAAGGGATGAAACTGTCGGTGCAATCTGGCTATAGAAAGAAATAGTTATTATCATTTTTTAAAAATACTTAATTTTGTTTAATATAATATAATCGAGTAAAAAAAAAGATTGCTCTCCGCATGTGCGTTTAAAATTGTGTGCATAATTTTTGTGGGAAAAAATTGTACTTTATAATGGAAATTTAATTAATTTTTAAAAATTAAAGTAAATAAAACATTTGATTAATTCACATTTTATGTCACAGTGCATTGTCATCGATTCTAGACCTATGTGAAAATGTTTAAAACAAATCAGTCGTTTTCCCTACGACTTAGAGTAACGTACCAATTCTGATTACCGGAAATGGTACATAAGTTGAAAAAAACCGTCGTCTATAATGTAATATTAACATCTGAAACATGCTCACAATATTTCTTTTCAACCTGGTCAAATAACGTTAATAGTTCATATGTTATCACTTTTTTTAGAGACTTATAGGGTAAGCATCACTTCAAGTTTCAGGAAATTGCTCAAAATGTCATCGAAAACTTAAAATTATATTATATAGTATATATATAAATAAAATTTGGTCAACATAACTGAAACGATACTTAAGTTATCGTGTTTAAAGATATACACACCAATGGGCAGGATGGCACAATTAAGTTTTTCCGTCTCCGGAAGTTTATAAAACGTTAAAATTTGCGAAAATCTCGATTTAGATTTTTGCACGATAACATTTCATCCATCATATTTCGTAGACGAGAAAGTAAAGAGGTTAAACCGCAGAGTAGGACTTACAAGTTTCAATTTTGATCGCTAAAAACTTAAAGGGATATGCTTAATCTATTTATATTTTTTTTTTACAATTCAAGAGTTAAAGCGTTTTGAATGCTTTTACCATATTTTGGCGCATGATGATAAGTATTTAAAAAGCAAAAAAAAAAAAGCGTTGAAAACAATTTTGGTTGTCATGGAAATACGGAAAAAACTCCGCCAAATTGAATTTTTTGGTATTTTTAAAAACGCTTTACCTTTTTTTGATATTTACACTAAAAGCAACATAACTTAAACGGCTTATATTTCCTTATATATTAAAACTTTTGTCATGACAACTTTTAGTTGAAGCTACTGTTCAGAATTCTAGAAGGTCCAAAAACTCGTACTATTCTTTTAAAATTTGCATTTTATTTACCATACTTTTTTTCTTTCTATGAAAGTCATCATAATTCCCTCGCAAAAAACGTTTTATTTTTGCACGACGATAATGACTGAAAACATGGTGGGCATTTTTTAATATAAATAAAACATTAAATATGTAGGCTTTTTAGTGTTGAAAAACTGCCAACTGAGAAAAACAACAAAAAGTAACGAAAAATAGGTAACGAAAATGCCATATGAGCGTAATTTGTAAAGCTTTAGGTGTGTGTGAGATGATGGAAAATAAGATTATCAAATACACGAGAAATACACCTATGCGATGATGCCAAATACAATATGATAACGTATATAAAACGTTTCGTAGACAGCATAAACGATTGGGACAAAAAAAGGATTATTTTTAAATTGATTGGCTCATAAAAATGGTACTTTAAACTTATACATTTGTTTTTCTCATTAAAGTAATTATTTTTTAAAAATACAAAATGAACATGTATCTAAAAGTGCAAGAAACCAAGAATGATGAAAAATTAGGACTTTGGTGATTTTGCTATGAACATATTTCCCTAAACCACATTTGTGATATACAGTCTGGGTTCTGCATTGGTTCCACACTTTAATCTCCAAAACTCTTTTGCGCAATTTTTCTAGCTTACTTTTTATGTTCTTAATAATGTTATCCTAAATGATAACATGACCATCTTACCGTGAACTTTCCCTGATGTTGACTATGGGAGCGGCCGAATACTCGTCTTGATTAGGGTTGTTTGCAATGAACAGTAATGAGTTGCAAGACCAGGTCATTACGTATTTTGGTACAACCTGAAGAAAGTTTTCTTTATGAAATTGTATTGATGTAATTTTCTAGATTATTTTCCCATGGGTGCCCAACACACGAGGCAGATAAAGTAGGGTTCATCTGTTTCAATGACCTTGGTATGGTCAAGATTCGCTTCCCTAACGTGAGTCAGGTACCTACAGAGCTGGGTAAACTCAGGCACGTCCAACAAACTCGAACCCGGGATCCGAACTCGAGACGTTTGGAGTAGCACGCCTTCCCATAATTTTTTAAAATGCGTATCAATAATCTCAGCAAGGCCAAATGTTTTTAGAAATATACTGCATTCATCATTATTATGTTCTTAATAATGTCTGCTTTTTAAAAAATGTTTTTCCAAGTCATCTTTTTTTACGGAAAATAATTTACTAATCGATTTCTACAAAAGGTAGATTTTTATAGTTTTACAACCGAAGGTATAAAACAACAGCAATGTATCTTGGTAATATATCAACTTTAAAGAAGATTCCTTACTATCTGGGAATTTAACCATAGCAAAGCTCACCCCGTTTTCCTTATCGTCGCAGTCCGGCAGAAATGAAGTGAACGTGTGTAACCCCTTACGTTCAAACTTCGCCTTACACTCCTGTCTAGTTTTCAAGTCGTTCCATGTCAACAGCTTAATTTGGTCTTGAGTGAAGCTCCTAGACCTGTTTGAGATGTATTATTTTATAGTAATGCACGCATTGTAATTCAAGGAGCAGTATTGCGATATTTAGCGTTATTTAACCATCATAACAGAACACAATTTAAATTGGAGTCTTCTTCGATCTTAATTTTAGTGTTGGAAGGAATCCAATACGCATCAACTGGTTTTGCACCATTAAGGCTATTGACTCCGATTTTAGCCAGCTTTTCCTTTATTGGATTTGCTCCCGTAGCCTTTGTCCAATCAAGAACAAACTACAAGGCAGCAGTTGTTTTGAGTTTTCTCTCATAGAAGAGTGGCTGTCCCCAGCTAACGAACCTCATCTTCCAGAGGGAGTGATTATTTTTTATTTTATTTTATGGAGTAATTATTTTATTTTTAACAAAATGTAAGTGTGATTTTTGAGTAATAAGTTTACAATCAACTCATCAAACACAGATCTATAATCTGGCAAGCAAGTTTTTTAAAAAAAATCTCTTATCTCCTGCAACTTTATTACGTTAGGTAGCTGTCACCCAAAAGCAGATTAGGAGTTAAGAAAAAAATTAATATTTTAAAAAAATAAAATCAGCTGTGATTAATAAATTAATGTAGTATTGCAATCGGTTTTTGTGTGAACATTTTGTCTAACAGTTCATAATAGTTATAATTACAAAACGTTAGTAATACAATTTAAAAATATGCCGCATTTGTAACTAGTACAATCGGCTTTTAATTTTAGGACAGTTGATCTCAGGAAAAAAATATATCAAGGACCATTGATCCCTGGGCAATATACTGATTTACACCTACATGTTGTTTGAAGGGGACGTGATGTTGTAAGGTTGCATGAACATCTCTCCGTTGCTGTTTTCCCATAGTACGGAGATCAGACGACGGAGTAAAGTTCTCTCAAAATACTCCTCCATGAAGTAGGTCACTGCCTGAAAATATTTGAGAAACTGGAGCTGAACTTACCACTTTACGCGAGTGTGTTCTTCAAAAGCTAAACAAAATCAGCATAATTTTTAAAATTCTGTTTTTATTAGCTAGATATTTTCGTAACCCTTGGGTCAAGCTAAATTTAAGTTTTTCCAGAAAAAAGGGTTCGAACGAACAGTCGTAGTAAATAATATGTGTATATGTATAAAACATGTCTATATTTAAAATAAAACTGCAAGACTACAAAGAATTGAGCACGAAATGAACGAAAAAAATGGCGTTGCATTGACCACGATTTCTGCGGCCTTTCTTTCTGGATATCCTTCCAATGTCTTTGTCCACCTAAAAAACAAACTACAAGGCAGCAGTTGTTTGATTTTGAACTTATCTCTCCTAGGTGATTTTCTTTCCCCGGCTATCGATCATCTATTCATACGTCAAAACCCAGAACTTTTGGAGTTAGCAAATATAAACTTTCTCGTCCTACTGCGTTTCCCCAGATATGACGCTGAGATGAAACTGACATGACACTGATACGTAACTTTTCTTACCGGTGCCAAAGCTGGAATCTCGACTGGCATCGCCATTAAAACTTCAGCTATCGGCACATCCACATCCGGGTCATCGATGTTCTTGTAAGCTTCCACCAGCCTTAGATCAGAAAACTTGCCGTTCAAAACGTAGAGAAGGTTGGAAAATGCTTCAGAGTACTCTAAAATAAATTAAGAACAATAACTAGTGAAATGAAACTGGAAGCCATTTTTAGAAAGAGTGAAAATAATTAACTGAGGATGTACCAACAACGAGGCCAAAAGAAATATAAACAAAGGAAACTTGATTGAATCCTTTGTGGCCCCTGGGGAGCAAAGGGCTTTAATCACACCTCTCCACTAGATTCGTTTTTGGGCAGCGCCCCTTATCTGCGCGAACGTGAGTCCTTTGCTTCTTTTTCTACAGTTCCATTTCATGGCCTTATTTATTGACTGCTGTTTTGTGTTTGAATACATGTCTTTATTTTGTACTTTGTCTTGCCAGCTTATTTTAAAGATCTGTCGTAAACATGTATTTCGATATTCTAAGCCTATTTCTAAACTTAAGTTATCCTATCAAAAACTAACATTCTCAAATACTTACGCCTTGCGAAAGTCTGGGTTTGAACGAAAGCATAAACATAACAATATACATAATTAATTAAAAGTGAAACAAAGAAAATCTAAGATGTAAATATTTTTACATATAAACCTACTTTGAGTTCCCGTAACCTGGTCGTCTGCTGTACCTGTCCTACAGGACATCAACAGTAAAATTGTCAGACACCAAAGGGACGTCATTCCTGTGTGACTTGCTTGAGATCTGTTTTACGTGACTTTTGTTTGGAGATTAGCAGCTATCAATAAGCAACATGCGGTAGTTATATAAATCTTTTGATAGAAGATCATAACAATTCAAATATTTTGTTTTTAACAACGGCTATTATAAAATTGCATAATGATCATTACATAAACTTGTCTAAGTCTGACAACTCTTCGGAATAACAAATAACGTTTGTTGATAATATCACATTTGTGTACAGGTTTATAATTATAAAACAGTTACCTTTTAAGAGCTAATGGGTTCCATCTGTTCACATATATTTTTGTTTCCTGTTCATAATGCTATTCCACATTCTGACGTAGACTTTATGTACATGTTCACACGTGATGTCTACCACACACATTATATGTATATGTCAACATACATACTCCTCACACAAAGTTTATCAAACTGTTCACATTAATTAACCAATCTCCTGACATAGAGTGTTTTTAATCTGCTGATACATCTTTTAACAACCTGCTCATGCAATCCGTTTTTATCTACCTAGACTAAAACATTGTCTACCTGTTTGCAATGCTAGCATCAACTTGCTCAGACAATATTTATCAACCTACAATGTTTATCAACCTGCCAGAGGCGTAGCTACCCATTCCGGCGCCTTGGACGAACTATCAATTTTGCGCCCCTCTTCCCCTTATTATGCATACATATTTGTTTTTTTTTAGATACCCCCCCCCCCCTCCCTCCACAACTTAGAATGGTCGAGGCATTTTTGCCAACCACTTTCTCTTTTTATTAAGGTTTCACATATTTGACGTAGAAAGCAGCTAAGTAAGTCCGTAAAAAAACACGTAGCAGTCTATTTTCGTAACCTCGACTGTGAATAATTCAGTAAGACTGCTTAGAATATACATTTCAATCCCGCTTGACACCCCCATAGTGTCAGCGACCGGGGCGGCGCCCCACCCGCTCCCTCGTTACGCCTCTGCGACCTGCACATGAAATGTTTATCAACCTGTTCACATTTATTTTTTCCACCTGCTACAAACGTTTCATCAAACTGCTGACATCACGTCTGTGTACGTGTTTACTCACATTATGTCTATCTCTCACACAACTGACAACTTATGCCGACATGCAGTTGTACTTTTTACTCGTACTCCTAAACCTTTTGTCTATCTGCTATACATGTTCATCTAGCGTCTATTTACCTGTTCACATAAATATTGCTTAACTACTCACTCAACGTTTAGCAACATGCACACACATGATCTTCGTATTGCGGTTAATGCTTGTTATCTTACACGCATTAAAATAATATTAATACTTAAATATTCTTGACTTGACAGGTTTTATGTCTACATAACATGGAATTTTATGAACAATTCACTTTTTGTATTCATCTGTTAAGTATCAAGTATCTTTGTATGTATAAACTGTATAAAATGATTAACATCTGTTTTCCGATCGACACGCAATAATGTACTTTATCTACTAAATAGCTTATCGTCTCAAATGTCACAAATTAAATTGAAAAACAAGTATATATTACTTTCTTTTCCCGTTCGTGCCCAAGACACATGGAACAGATGAAATAGAGTTCATCTGTTTTAGAGAACTTGGCATATGACGGGATAGTGCAGTTAGTACTATACATAGCCGCTTTTGTTCTCCATAACTTGATTTAGGTATCCCTCATACTTGGGTGGACTCAGTGACATTCTACTGACTTGAACCTGGAGTTGAACTTTAGACGTTTGGGTCGTCATTCTAGCTATCTACCACAAGACCACGTCCTTCCATTTGTATGAATTAGTACAAATATTTTTTTAAACTACTTAATTAATTGGTAGCGCAGTGAGAAATGGTACAACATCCTTATGTTGTCATTTACATAATTTTTCATTTACTGATAATTCTATATCTACAATTAAATACCAAGCTTTTAGATTTAAACCCAAAACAACAGTGTTAAAAGAAAAGAAAAAGCAAAACATTTTCAAAAGATCAATTTATTGGTCAGTAAAGTTTTATGTAGACACAGATTTACTCACAGGTAACTCTGTTCTCAATGCCGTTCATGTAAGGTGGAAAAGGATACCTGAATAAATATTAAGAAAATGTATTTAAAATATTGATGACTATTTCGAAAAGTCTTCTCTAACTTAAAAACGCTTCCAGAGAAGCTACGGGTACACATCCACCACCCAGGAGGACAGATGGGGCGGCCGCCTCGGGCGCCAACCCTAAGGGGGCGCTAAAATGGTTGGAAAAAAGTTTAATAGATTATCTTAAGTTAGATATTGACTTATACACTATAAAAGTTAAGCAAGTAAACTGCTACATGGTTTTACACACTACTTTAACTGTTTTCGACATCAATTGTATTACACCAAAATAAAATATTTTTTTACTGTGTAGTAATTTTTAAAATGAGGGGGGGGGGGGTGCATTTTTGGCACCAGCTTGAATGACTATATAATGTAGAGAGCAAAGGGGGAGGGGTGGTTAATGGTAAAGTTCGCCCCGGGCCCCTGAATGTATTACCATTCTCTTGGCATTACGATGTATTTTCTGTATGTAGAAATGCTGCTTCTAGTTCAGTAAATAGTTTTGTCAGATTTTCTTCTTCATATATATATATATATATATATATATATATATATATATATATATATATATATATATATATATATATATATATATATATATATATATATATAGAGAGAGAGAGAGAGAGAGAGAGAGAGAGAGAGAGAGAGAGAGAGAGAGAGACCTGACGAAGTTACAGCAAAAGCGCTCGATTGTCCACCTCAGAGTGGACTGTGAAGGCTAAGGGAGACTTAGAACACAGAGCAGAAAACTACTGACAGGAGCAGAATTATGTGGAGGAAGAGCAAAGAAAGTTGCGAAAGACTGGCTTTCTCTGGCGTCCCCATATACCCTGGCCGTCGACGGTAAAATATGGAGATGATGAATTTAGACAAGTTACTATACTATAATCTGATAAAACTCACGCAAAATATATTTTTAAACACGTTTTTCAGTAAACCAAAATCCCGTCTTTGATTTACCATATCGATTCCTTATGTGTTGCATTGCGATGACTTAATTGCAAAAAAAAAAAAAAAAAAAAAAAAAAAAAAAAAAAAAAAAAAAACCCGATTATTTTTCAAAACACCTTAAAATTGCTCATCAAAGGGAAAATGGGGATCAATCAAATACAAACAATAAAAAAATTACGTCTTTATATTGATTTTAAAATAAATTCTGAATACATTTGGAAACAGCTGGAATTCGTCATCTAATTTTAATTTCTGTCTCAGTTAAGCACAAAGTACGAACAATAAGATTTGTTTTAATAGTAATGTGTTTTTACAAACTTTTATTTAACTTGCTTACTCTGTCTGTCTGTATGAGTTTAAACGGGCGAGCCCCTGTGGACGGTTATTCCCTAAGCCATCCACGTACTTATCATTTGGATCCGCCTATGTATGTCAAGCTTACATTAAAAAAAGATCAATGGTGGTTAGACACGTGTCATTTATTGACCGGTTAGACCTTTGTAATACTTGCTCGTTTCGAAATGTTCTCGCTGTGGAATTTTAATTAATGTCTCACTAGTTTAATTAAATGTGTGGATAAATTGTAGAATGTTCTATTCAGTGTTATATCCTATATTACTTGTTACGCAGAAGATTTATTAATTGTAATTTGCAAATGACGAAGTGGATGGCCATTATAGCCAGGTTTACTAATGACGCTGTAGACGGCTTCAGGGCATTATCCCCTCCCCCGTCAATTACCCCCGGACATTTCCCCCTCCATTATTCCCCCCCCCCTCCCCGTCTAATCCCTGTATGATTAAGTACAGATGCAAATATTTTTTTGGGAATAAAACAAGTGAAGAAACGGATGGCTGTTATAGCTATTTTAACAAGTGAAGAAACGGATAGCTGTTATAGCTATTTTAACAAGTGAAGAAACGGATGGCTGTTATAGCTATTTTAACAAGTGAAGAAACGGATGGCTGTTATAGCTATTTTAACAAGTGAAGAAACGGATGGCTGTTATAGCTATTTTAACAAGGGGCGAAATCACTTTTAACAAGTCTTAGTGCCGTAATAAATGCCTGCTATACCTAAGTATATAAAGACCAAACCATCTAAGAATTCAGAGCAGTTTTAAACAAGTTATTTATGAGTTTTGTAGTATTTAGTGTTGCTTGTAAATCTTTGAAAATAATATTTGTTTTGTCAGATGCGCAATAACAGTAAAACGTCCTTTGTTCTAATAACAAGTGAAGAAACGGATGGCTGTTATAGCTATTTTAACAAGTGAAGAAACGGATGGCTGTTATAGCTATTTTAACAAGGGGCGAAATCACTTTTAACAAGTCTTAGTGCCGTAATAAATGCCTGCTATACCTAAGTATATAAAGACCAAACCATCTAAGAATTCAGAGCAGTTTTAAACAAGTTATTTATGAGTTTTGTAGTATTTAGTGTTGCTTGTAAATCTTTGAAAATAATATTTGTTTTGTCAGATGCGCAATAACAGTAAAACGTCCTTTGTTCTAATAAAACATTGTTTAATAAATTCCAGTACAGTTTTATTATTAAATTTTAATATTTTTTATAAATTAACTCTGGTTGGCTTATAACTGCGTTGCTAATTAGCAAGTGAGCATTAAATATAATCCAGTTTATTGTTAGAAAGAATTTTAAGGTTTTCCATTTGTATCCAGTTTGTGATACAATGAAATAACCTACATACATGTGTAATTAAAGCAATAGGATTTATAGTCTTATAGAAACTGAGCTTTACTTACAACAAAATGTGTTTCCTGCTTAATCGGTGTTTGATTAAGTACAGATACAAATATTTTTTGGCGAATAACATATTCATACTTGATTCAACTGATTCACAAGCAAACAAACACACACACACACACACACACACACACACACACACACACACACACACACATATCACAATCTTGCACCTACGCACTCAGACACACTTGCAATCAAACACAAATACAAACGAACACACATCCTCAGCCTGTGAGGGCTTAAGGGGTGTGGGGGGGGGGGGTTGGCTAATAAAGCAGCAGCCTGGAGACCCCAATTATTTTGGGCCCCACAATTTCATTTTTAGGCTATAATAAATTAAATTTGTATAATGTATTCTTTTTATACTAGTTAAATAGTCATGGAAAGGTAAAAGCAATAAAAAAATTATTAACAAACAAAAATCACCTAAAATTCACAGACCATTAAAAACAAACAAGATTTAATTATTTTCAGCTTGCACATAGTTTACTTATGGTTTCAACCTAAACTGTAAACATGAACATCCTACCTTGGTCCTTCCCTAACGGTAACTATTGGAATGGCCGAGTACTCGTCTTGACTAGGGTTGTTAGCGACAGCCACCAATGAGTTACAAGACCATGTCAGGAAGTATTTTGGAATCACCTGAAGAAAATTAATTTTATGAATTCTAATAACGTAAACTTTTAGGCTCAGCCTGAAGAAAATTGTTTCAATGCATTCTAATAACTTATTATTTGTACGTACGGAGTAATGTTTATTAATTTTTTACAAGAAATCTTACTAAAATAAAATATTTCTGATAAACTTATAGTGTATCTATTGTTCGTACACATTAATGTGTATTGCTTATTTTGTTAGAAATTTCTCTAAAAGTAAATAATTAGGGACAGCCTGAAAAAATTCTTTTTGAACTCTAATAACTTGTTTTTTAAACGTACACATTAATGTATATTGCTTCTTTTGTTAGAAAATTCACTAAAAGTAAATGTTCGTCTTTTGAAATTCCAAATAACGTATTTGTTTATGTTCACATTGATGTTTATTGCTTGTTTTGTCTGAAATTTCACAAACAGCAAATTTTTTGAAACCACCTAAACATTTCCGTCTTTATGAATTCTAATAGCTTATTTTTTTATACGCACACATTAATGTGTATTGCTTCTTTTGTTAGCATTATGAAACCCCCTGAAAATTTTCGTCTTTGAGGTCATCCATAAATGACGTCACGATTTTTTGACGATTTTTAACTCCCCCTTCCATCCGTTACACATCGTCACAAAAAGCCAGCACCCCCCCCCCCCACACCCTAAAATGCCTTCCCACCTAAGCCTACAACCCACCCCCTTAAAAATTGCAGTTGAGTTTTTCTTAAAACATTGATATTTTTCAAAAAATCTTGTCTGAGCTCTGTCAACATAAAGTATTTTAATCAATTCCTATTACAATATATTTAAACAGTTTTATAAAGTTCGAAATAACGTCTGAAACACGTTTTCTAACATTGCTTTTTAATAAAGTCTGACGTCACACCATCTGAACGCTCCCCCTCTCCCCCTCATCACACCCGTCACAAAATTACGGACTCCCCTCCCCCTACGAGTGTGACGTCATTTATGGACGACCCCTTTATGAATTCTAATAACACGGATACGATTTTCTGTAAGTCATAAAAAAAATTGATGTTCTCGATGGTGTCCTGATGCCATCCCTCTTAATGTTTCTTAACAAAGTTTTGCGCGACGCAGCAGCGTAGCGAGGGGGGGGGGGGGGCGGGGACACATGTCCCCGGGCGCCGACCTTAGGGGGCGCCAAAATGGGTTGGAAAAACACATTGAAAGGTCGAGGGGGGTGCAAATTGAAAGTTCGAGGGGGGGTGCAAATCGAAATCTTGAAGTGGGGGGGGGGGGGATGCAAATCGAAATCTTGAGGGAGGGTGCAAATCGCAAGTTTGAGGGGGGGGGGTGCAAATCGAAAAGTTTGTCCCCGGGCGCCGGGAAGGGTCGCTACGCCTAGTATTACGTTTACACACAATTTTGCGCTATATTTCTTTTGTAACAAATACAGAGTTTCGTTGGATTGTAAATAAAACTAAAAACAACCAAGTAAATTTGGTAACAATTTTAAATTTTAACGAAATGTACTTAAGAGCTGGCATTCTAGAAATAAGAAATCTGACCCCGCCGTCCTTATCATCGCAGTCAGGCACTGAAGCTTTGAATGTGTGTGTCCCCTTACGTTCAAACTTCGTCCGACATTCCATTCTGGTTCTCAAGTCATCGTAAGTCAAATTTCCGACTTGGTCGAGGGTAAAGATTTTAGACCTGTTTTGTAGTTTTAAAAACTTAAGCCAATTCATGCATTGTATATATATATATATATATATATATATATATATATATATATATATATATATATATATATATATATATATATATGTGTGTGTGTGTGTGTGTGTGTGTATAAAGATGTTCATTTTAATGAATTTATAGTTAGACATAATAGGAACACTATCTTAAATTAACCTTACAAATAGAATTCAAGCACATACAATTTGAACTGGCGACCTGAACTCACATATCATTAGGAGGAGACGTGATGTTGTAAGGTTGCATGAAGATCTCACCGTCACTGAGTTCCCACAGTACACAGATCAGGCGACGGAGTAAAGTTTTCTTAAAATACTCCTCGTAGAGGTAGGTCACCGCCTGAAAATATTTGAAAAACTGGAACAGGAACTATTGCTCCGGAGCCGAAACTAATGTTTTATGCGACTATGTCCACTTCAAGCGAAACAAGCCGAAAACTATTACTGCCAATTGAATACATAGCGTGGGTATTTTCACAGGGATTGGTTTAAATAAAATTGTTTAAGAAATCACAATGATATGGAACTAACATGTCACTGACGTGACACTGAAAAGATATAGAATTTGACATTGACGTTGACTTTGACATTAACATTGACTTTGGCATTGGCATTTAAATTGGCATTGGCATCGGTATTGTCACTGACACTGACTCTAACACTACCATTGACACTGAGATTGATATTGACATTGGCATTGGCATTGACATTGACATTCGCATTCACATTCACATTCACATTCACATTCACATTCACATTCACATTCACATTCACATTCACATTCACATTCACATTCACATTCACATTCACATTCACATTCACATTCACATTCACATTCACATTCACATTCACATTCACATTCACATTCACATTCACATTCACATTCACATTCACATTCACATTCACATTCACATTCACATTCACATTCACATTCACATTCACATGACACTGACATGACAGCGACATGACAATGACATGGCATATCATTTCCTTACCTGTCCCAAAGCTGGGATCCAGACTGGGATTGACACGACCGCTACATGGTGTGGCACATCCACATCCGGGTCATTAATGTTCTTGTAAGCTTCCACCAGCAGCCGGTCAGTAAAGTTGCCGTTGAAAACGTAGAGAAGGTTTACGAATGCTTCAGAGTACTCTAGGGTAAGAGAAGCACATTAGAGATCACCGACTTCACGCACCCAAACAAACAAACACACACACACACACACACACACACACACACACACATATATATATATATAAATATATATATATATAAATATATATATATATATTTATATATATATATATATATATATATATATATATATATATATATATATATATATATATATATATATATATATATATATATATATATATATATATATATATATATATATATGTATATATATATATATATATATATATATATATATATATATATATATATATATATATATATATATATATATATATATATATATAATATACAACGCAAACCTGAACGTGAACCATAACCCTCGCCGTATGTATGTATGTTTGTGCACAAAATGTTTTTAAAAAATTAACTATCATTACATTTTTCGACCGTCAAAACAACGATAGCACGTTATTTTAACGATTAACCTACCATTCTTCTAGTTCACGGTTCATTGCACATAAAATGTAAAAATGTAATAAACCACAGAGTCAAAGCATTGTACAGAAAACCGCTTGTTACATACATGGCCTGCACTGGCGAGGATCAAACCCAAATAATATATTAAAAATATACAAAAATAATATATCGGAAAAGTATGGAAAAAGTATCAAATAAGAGTATATAGCTTCTTACTCAATAAAAGCAACAAAAAAATTGTCAAGCGTATCATACGGGATGAAAAAATATGAATACACACCAGAAGAAACACCCGCCTGGTCCTCGGCATTACTTTTGCAGATAATTACAAGCAGGAATCCTGCCAGACATGCAAGGGACACCATTCTTGTGTGATCTTCTATATTTAACTGAGTTGTCGTTACTATAAGTAGAACACCGACAGAACAAGTAAGTCGGGTATACGCGATATTTTATAGCTAACGAGGCTGAGGGTTGTTCTGGTTAGGGATATTAAGACGACTTTAGGAGAAGGTTATATGAGACTTCATGAGGCTTGCTTGGATCAGAAGAAGGTTTATGAGACTATATAAAATTGTTTGGTTGAGGAGAAGGCTTATGAGACTACATTGATTAGAAAACGTTTAGGGGACAACTGGAGTCTTGGTTGGATAAGAAGAAGGTTTATGAGACTATATAAAATTGTTTGGTTGAGGAGAAGGCTTATGAGACTACATTGATTAGAAAACGTTTAGGGGACAACTGGAGTCTTGGTTGGATAAGAAGAAGGTTTATGAGACTATATAAAATTGCTTGGATCAGGAGAAGGTTTATGAGACTACATAAAATTGTTTGGATCAGGAGAAGGCTTATGAGACTACATGGATTAGCAAACGTTTAGCGGGCTACTGGAGTCTTGGTTGGATCAGAAGAAGGTTTATGAGACTATATAAAATTGTTTGGTTGAGGAGAAGGCTTATGAGACTACATGCATGGATTAGAAAACGTTTAGGGGGCTACTGTCGTCTTTTTGGGATTAGACGAAGGTTTAGGAGACTTCCTTGGATTAGGGGCTAAGTCTTTGTATTGAGTAATAAAACTCGTGTAACCGGGGATTCGACATTTATCCCAGTGTTGCAGTGAAGGGTAATAATACGGAACAGCCGGTCACAGGTGTCGATCTATTTTTTTATCGCTTCATGGTTGCTGGTAAAATAAGGCTATCGAAGGTATGAAAAGAGTTAGGGTAAGCTTGATAAGGTGGCTTTAATGCGTGGGCTTGGTTAAGTGTATGCTGTATTTGCGATGAATTACGTCGAAATGGGAGATATTGATGTATTTCCTCTAATGCATTTAATGTTTTTTTTTTTAAATTTTTAAGTACCTGACGATCAATATTTGGCAGAGGAAGTTGAGTGCAACTGTTGACCATAATTTATGAACGGATAGTATGGTCAGCACTATGCCCAGCCGCCTTTACTTTCCCTAACGTGAGCTAGCTACCTATCAGATAAAGATGGACTCGTCTTATGGACTCGTGCTTGGGAACAGAACTCGAGACTTTGCTATTAACATTCAGCGCTCCAACACCCGACCAAGTTTTCCAATCTTCTGGGGCGTAATTTAGTTTATAAACGAACTATATTTAAATGATCAAAGCTCACTCTTTGAAGAATGCACTTCTGTTACAACTTATCGTAATACCCACTAATACACGTTAAGTACAGAGTAAGGTTTGAAATCTACTTAATAGCTAAGCTTAAATTCTGATGTTATTTACAGTAACCAACATATTCTGCGTGAATAATTACTTAATGCAGAACACGCTAATTCGTTCTATACTTAACTCATTTTAAATATCTTAATACTTGTAAACTAAACTTCTCTCTCAAAGCTGCTTTAATTGCAGTACTTCCGGCTTGATATTATTATTTGATTATAGTTTTTGATCAGTTTACAGTTACTAAATATTCGTATACATACGTTTAAGCATAAAATGTAGATAAACCTAATTAAACATATGGATTAAATTAATCCTTTCGAGTTCACATTTTTCATCATCTTAATGTGTATTTAGTTTAAGTAGATTTCGCCATAATTCTCTTCAGGCTTACATACATTTTTTTAAAGAGATTGGTCACTTAAGTAATTAATAATATTTAGAATATTTTTCTTTATTTTTAATCCCAAATTTATTTCTGCTCTACTTATAACACATACCCCTTCAAACCGCCACACCTGCACACCTGAGAAAAAAATAACATTGAATCCCCATTTAATTACACATTTGCATTTTCAGATTTAAAAATAAAATTTTAATTAGAAGTTTTTTTATTATGTATAATTAAACAATCTTAAAGTCTTAAATGAAGGGAAGTACATGTCAAAAGAAATATTACTATTGTAAATCTGTATCAGTCCTCTCAAGCCGATGATGAAAACTGTAATACTAAAGCAAACATGCAGGGCAAACTGACGCTGTAAATTATATGTCTGAGGCAAAAAAATGTTTGATAATTTTACTGTATTACCGATTATTTGTTACTAGGTAATTGGCCCGTTGAGGGAGAAATTCTACAACAAAGGCCACTAGTTTGATAGAAGGGAAAAAAGCAGAATTTCTCGTTGAAATTAGATATATTTTGTTTTGGTGTCACCCCCTTTGTGTCTGTCACCCAGTGCAGACTGCATCAACCACCCCCAGCCCCCCCTCGCTACGCCTCTGGGTGTCACCCCCTTTGTTTTGGTGTCACCCCCTTTGTGTCTGTCACCCCAGTGCGAACTGCATCAAGCACCCCGTGCTTGGCCATTGAGAGGTTGTGCTTTAAGGAGATAGAGAATACTAATAGGTGGGTTGGATAATGATTTACAGGGTTTCTTTCTTGTATTTGTTTGCTGACTACACCACTGAAATTAAAAACATGTATCTTTAAAGCTAAGCCAGCCTTTGTAGCCACACAAAAGAGGGGAAATAATAGCATTCAGGAACAAAGGCCGACTTTTCAAAACTTCCCACTGGCCCAGCACCATTTCCAATGATAGTTTTAGTAAGAGAAATGAAAACCGTTTTTTTTTTCAAATGATGAGTTTAGAAACTTCCTAGGGGAGGTCATTAGTGAAATAATGTGTTTCTTCTTCCTCTTCTTCTTCTTCGTTCTTAATTTAATTTTAGTGTTGGAAGGGATCTCCCGAGACTTTTCGGTTTAGCAACCATGAGCTTTACCGACTCGACCACGCCGACCCCTATGTGTTTTCTGTATAAATTGTATATTTTTTCTATTCCATCGGGGGATTAGGTGGTCGGGGTCGTTGGACGTGACCTCCCCCCTCCCCCGCCCCCCCGTAGAGATGCCTGAAAGAAACACTGATGATTTACACTACAATAGAAGATAAAGACACTGCCACTATAAAATAAGTATGCCACGGTCAAACAGAAAATTTGAATCAAAGCCTCAAACACCACCGATAATGGGGTCGTCCATAAATGACGTCACACTCGTAGGGGAAGGGGGGTCAGTAATTTTGTGATGGTGTGTGATGAGGGGGAGGGGTCGGGTGATGTGACGTCACACTTTTGCATTATAAAAAAGTTTTAAGAAAGATTCAAATGCAATTTTGAGGGGGGGGGGGGGTAGACTGCGGTGTGACGTCATTTTTAGATGTGTGACAGAGGGGAGGGGGAAGGTAAAAATCGTCCAAAAAAGCGTGTCGTCATTTATGGATGTCCCCTAAGACGGCAACTTAGACATTAAAACGGGTATAACCAAAACTAAATCACAGCGCGTAGCGTATGTATAACTCCTACTAATTATAACTCTAAACAAAACTACTGAATTGCCACGTTGCTTATGCAAGCTATGCTATTTCGCAACATTAACATTGATTTCTTTCTTTCATCCCGTATCACCACAAGAACGGCAACTCTTATTTTAATCGCGCCGTATTTCCCTTTCTCAGCATACCAACATCATTTGATACGTCTTCATGTTGTATCAACTTACCCCAACACGACACGTGGCACAATTTGATTCTCATGACGTTTTGTATAAATCCTGGTCTGATTCGAAAAACCGTTTCATTAAAGCTTCTGCTTAACCATGGCAAACTTCAAGATGTTCTTTGTGGTGTTGTTCGTAGCCGTCGCAAGCGGTTACGCTTTCAATTTGGGTAATGTGAGTTTTTTTAAAATAATTATTACAAGCTTTTATTCAACTTGCTTCCTTTGTCGTCATAGATCGAAACGGGCGAGCGAAATTTCGGACACTTCTAACTGACAAAGTTGGCACGTGGGTCTAGATTTAAAGACAATACAATATGACATAGTATTTAATTTAAAAGGATGCCCAATTAATTTTTTATCAATTAATTAAAAATTTCTGAAATTAGCAGACTGTCTTTTACTACTCTCTCAGCACTATTATACCTCAATATCATGTTCATTTAGTGCACACTAGTGTTTAGTCATGCGACCAAAAAATTCATTTAAAAAACCGTTTTAATAATAATGCACTAAAAAGGAGAAAATAAACTATTTTCTTTAAACATAAAATAATGCACTGTTGTTTAAATTACTATTAAATTACTATTAAAAAAGCGTGGGCCTCTTCCTAAATATTTGTAAAGGTATCCAATAGATAATATAGTGACTGACGCTTTTCTTTATAGTAATTTAAATAGTTGTGCATCATTTTGTATTTAAAGAAAATCATTTATTTTCTCCATTTTAGTGTATTATTACATAAAAGCTTGTTATTGAAACGTTTTTTATGCAATTTTTACTTTCTCGTATATACGAAGTATAGAGAAAGTATTGTAATCGTTCACAAAAATAACATGAAATTTTGACAGTTTTCACCGTTTTACTCCTCAGTCCTTCATCACATCCGAAGTATAGAGGTCTTATTTTAATCAGGCAAAAATTATAAATACAAATATATAAACATTTTGGCGTTTTATGCGTTATCGAGTCGTTAAAACTGGACTTTGCAATTCTGTCCGTATGTCTGTGTGTCCGTGTGTCTGTGTGTAAACACGATAACTTGAGTACCGTTACAGCTAGGTTGATGAAATTTCATATATAAGTATTTTATCAAAATCGTAGATCCTGATCAACTTTTGAGCGATTTCCGATAACCGGTATTGGTACTTTTTCTACTTTGAATTTTTGAAAAGCCTATAACTTGAGTACTATTTCAGATAGATAAATGAAATTTCACATGTAAGTAAAAGATCTAATGTTCTACCTTCTGTCAAATTTTGAGTAATTTCCGTTGATTGAAAGTACTAATTTACGCTATTTCCGATTTCTCAAAAAAAAATGAATGTAAATTTATAAAGTACTAATAATATTCCGCACTATTATGCACGTTTTATTTGGCGTTCACAGGTGTGCAATTCTTTTTTCTACGAGATTTTATTCTATTTTAAAAAGTTTAAGTATTTAAAATGGATTAAAATTCATGTCTGTATCCCGAGTTCCCATCCCCTGTTTTTTTTTATAAAAGAATATTCGAGAAAGTTTAGGGGAGATCGCTCCCGGTTTATTTAAAATATTAACTAAAAATTGAATTTTTTCCCCCCTAATATAATAGCTTTGTTTTCAAATATTAGTTTTAATTTCTAGATATGCCTTATTAAAGAATATTTTAATAAGTTGTTTGAAAGGTAGTGGGTGGAGCATTATGGTGCAGCATTCAAATTTGCGTTTTCCAATTCAAGACAGAAATTTCTGTATCACTCACGTTGTTAGTTGTGCATTTAAGTCTTTAAAACTAATTAGAGTAAATGCTTTCGAGGAGGCAAACTTAGGTTGTTTTTTTTTTAGATGATAATTGAAGAATCTGCCTCAATATTTTTCTAGCTTTAAATATTTTTTTTTTTCTACCGTAGTAAGACTAAAAATAAACGAAACCGTTGAATTGAGGCGTTTTAGATTGAAACGGAAGTTAATGTTAAAAAACAATACATTTCTGAAGAGCTAATTCGTCATAGTGTTTATACTTCTGGCCTGACATCACGCTTTTTTCGACTATTTTTACCTCCCCCCTCCCCTCCGTCACACATCGTCACATAAAGCTAGATCCCCCCCCCCCCCCCAAATGACGTCACATCTCGTCCTACAATCCCCTTTAAAAATCGCAGGTTAATCTTTCTTGAAACATCGATATCTTGCCAAAATCTTGTCTCAATTCTGTTAACATAGAATATTTTAATAAATTTCTATGACAATTAATCAACACAGTTTTTCTAAAACGCGAAACAACGGCTAAAACTCGTTTTCTAACGTTGCTTTTTTATAATGCAAAAGTGTGACATCACTCAAGCTGAACACCCCCGAAAGCTCGAAAGGCTAACTCCTGTGACCGTTTGCCCGATTGCTCTTCGCGACCAAACCGAGACCTTCGGACTAGCAGTCGTGCGCTCTACCACCCGACCACAATCGACATTTGGATGTTGTTTTCTGGCAAACAACCAACAGCATTCCTTCTCTCGTACTTAACCATTTTCATACATGTTATCACTCACTCATTTTATCTCTGTATACATCTCTCTTCCTCTTTCTCAATACTATCACCGTTTGTTAAATTTGCTCTTTTACTTACACAGGTAGAAAGGCTGATCATGAGGTGAAACGTCAAGAAGATTACGAATACCCGGAATATGAATACGAAGAATACGATTCAGAGAATAACCAAACAGGAGAATACGAATACCCGGAATATGAAAACGAAGACTACGAAACAGAAAAAAACGAAAAAAGGGGATTAGGATTCCGTGATTTGGAATCAGAAGAAAACGATTCAGGAGATTCAGAATCAGGAGAATCCGAATCAGGAGAATCAGACGAATCGGATGATTTGGAAAAACGTGACTCAGAATCAGAAGAAAACGAATCGGGCGATTCAGAATCAGAAGATTCCGAATCTGGAGAATCAGACGAAACCGATGATTTGGAAAAACGTGACTTAGAATCTGAAGATGACGAATCCGCAGAATACCCAGAGTACGAAGAAGAAGACGATTCAGCTGATGTGGAAGTTTTACCTGCGTAAAATACGATGCAATTTAACGTTTATTAACCAAAAGCTAGCTCAACTGTTCTAAAAGCTTTATTCAATGTGTATTAATATATTTTAATCATTTCAGAGATAAGTAAAAATTTAAAAAAAAACAGTTTCTTTTGATTTATTCAATTGGTTGTTTTTTTATTTCTTCCTTTGTAATTTTCTTAATAAAAAATTCATTTTAAAACTGTTTGCGTAGTTTAACTAATTCTAGTCGTTGTTTTAATGTTATTACATCTGAGTGCTCCAGAAATGTTGCGGGGTTTGAGGTACCTGTCTAACAATCTCCCCAGTAATCGTATAACTGCGGGGGTTGAGGTACCTGTCTAACAATCTCCCCAGTAATCGTATAACAGTATGGGTTGAGGTACCTGTCTAACAATCTCCCTAGGAATTGTATAACTGCGGGGGTCGAGGTACCTGTCTAACAATCTCCCCAGTAATCGTATAACTGCGGGGGTTGAGGTACCTGTCTAACAATCTCCCCAGTAATCGTATAACAGTATGGGTTGAGGTACCTGTCTAACAATCTCCCTAGGAATTGTATAACTGCGGGGGTCGAGGTACCTGTCTAACAATCTCCCCAGTAATCGTATAACTGCGGGGGTTGAGGTACCTGTCTAACAATCTCCCCAGTAATCGTATAACAGCATGGGTTGAGGTACCTGTCTAACAATCTCCCTAGGAATCGTATAACCACGGGGGTTGAGGTACCTGTCTCCCCGTCTGTAACCAGTGCAGACCCCTCAGTACATGGGTACCAAAACTGAGACACCCAACAGATGTGGTCCTCATGAGATTCTAAATGATCCGTTGCATTCTGTAGCTTGTAATGGAGACACATTTGTGAGCATTTGTCTACCTGTTCGCACACATTTTGTCTGAATTCTCACACAATGAACTTTCCATGAATGGATCTAAAGAAGTCATAACGAGTCGAAATCGCGATCCGAACTCGAGACTTTCAGGTTAACAGTCGTACGCTCTATCGTCAGAGCACGACGTCCCACTATTTAAAAATGAAATAATTTTATTAAATTAGTAGCAGTTTGACCGATAAGTTCGAAGTCTTCACAATTCATGCTTAATTTAAAGACTGTAAGCGACATTCCATTTCTTTGTCCATGTGTAAATCTAGTTGATATTTGTATGATCAGAACCTTAAACTGACATAATAAATTAAACATAGTACAAAGAAAAGAATAGACACATTTGACATTTGGATGTTGAATGGCCGCCATCATGGATTGCTTAAAGTCATGAATGTGACTTTTTCTTATTGTTAGTTCTATATTAATTACTGTATATATTAATTTCTGTAAAAATCAGCTAAATTAAGTGAAATCGTCAAGTTTTCTTGTAGCAGCAATTGTGTAATGGGTTTCTTCTATAAAACTTTGTCTGTATTATTTCCTTTGCCGTTTAAAGTCTAAACTTTGTCTCGGAAGAAGTTTTAAGGCCTTTAAATCATCATTCATGTTAATGTTTCTAAATAATTACATTATGTCTATATATATAATTCTCTTCATGTGCAAGACATGCAAGCCGACTATCTAACCCTCCTCCCGCCCCCTCTCTCGCTTTCCACGAATGCACAGCAGAACATTACGCTACCACCCACACCCGCACCAGTCTGGTGAGCTAAGGTTCACGCCAAATGTTTACAATCGTCGAGCCGGGTCGAATTAGTAACGGCTATTAGAGATATATAATTCAGCTTTTAAACTATTTGAAACTAAGGAGAGGTAAGAAGTTCCCCTTGATCTTTTCATTGTCGTCTGTAAATTGTCGTCACGGACGGCTGCTTTCACGGGGCCGTTGAGGGAAGGGGAAGGGAGGGTAGAGTTGAATTAGCAAATGATGAATTACTGAAAAGCAGAACATAAAACAACTAAATAGCGACGTAAGCTTACGGCGCTGGTCAGCTCGTATATTAATAATACTGATATAATTGGTCCAGTTGTTTTTTTTAATTCTAAAACATGTTTTCTCAATTTGTTGGCCTGTAGACAGATTTTATGGACAGGTAACATTCTCTTCAACTTTCTTCAGGTACGTTGGGAAAGGAAACCTGTAAGAAAAGGTATAATTATAATTGGCTAGTTCATTGGCATCGTTTACCAGTCTAATATAACTTCTTCACTACTCAGATACTAGCATGCCCCCTTAAATTAAATTTTAGGGGTTTCCTGGTACACGATGTTCCGCTCTACTGCCTCTTGTGCACCTGTCTTTATCTTTTTCACTTATTTTTGTTTCGTAAATTGGAAGGTTGGGAGTTCAAATGCCTCCAGGGCTGCAGGGGAGGACTGTGTGTGTGTGTGGGGGGGGGGATATACGTTTTCAGGGCTTCAAGTGGGGAGGTCGATACACATATTCTGGGGCAAGGGGGTTTGGAGGCGATGCACATGTTTTCAGGACTTCAGGAGAAGGGGGGCGATAAACATGTTTTCAGGACTTCAGGAGTAGGGGGCGATACACATGTTTTCAGGACTTCAGGAGAAGGGGGCGATACACATGTTTTCAGGACTTCAGGAGAAGGGGCGATACACATGTTTTCAGGACTTCAGGAGAAGGGGGCGATACACATGTTTTCAGGACTTCAGGAGAAGGGGGCGATACACTTGTTTTCAGGACTTCAGGAGAAGGGGGCGATACACATGTTTTCAGGACTTCAGGAGAAGGGGGCGATACACATGTTTTCAGGATTTCAGGAGAATGGGGGCGATACACATGCTCCGGATCAGGGGAGGGGGAGGCGATGAAATATTTTCAGGGCTTCAGGGGAGGGGGAGGCGATGAAATATTTTCAGGGCTTCAGGGGAGGGGGAGGCGACGACATATTTTCAGGGCTTTAGAAGAAGGGGGTTGATACACATGCTCAAGTTTCGAGGGAAGGGAGAATAGACTTCAGAAAACATTTTTCTTACCTGGGGCCTTCTCTGGTAGCTGATACAGGTACAGCAAGGTAGTCGACAGAATCGGGGTTGTTCGCGACGACCACCATAGAGTTGCAAGAAAAGGTCGCGATGTAGTGTGGCAAAACCTGTAGAATAAAATATGATCTACCAACTTAACCATGGATAAAGAAGGTTGTTTGACAAGGTCTGTCAACCGAAATCTTTGTAATGAATGTTTGTCTTTAAAATATCTATCAAAGTACACTTGAAAGATGGATTTCGTTAATATTGCTTTAACATACTGCTTTTTGTTTTACTTCGGTGTAAAATGTATTGACTTTTTAATGCCTAAAGATGTTGTTCAAATAAACATATTGTAAATTGTGAGCTTTTTTCCTTGTTAAATAACCCAGTCACGTAAAAATGTTTTAAGAAGATTTATTGTCATTAAATAAACTTAAATTTTTAAACCTAGTTATCTATTAAGTTGAAGAAGTAGCGATCATGTTTCTTGACCTCGGCATATGAAGGGAAGTTGTGGTCAGCACTATGCGCAGCCGCCTTTACTTTCTACAACTTAACGCAGGTAAAGTCCCACATTCATAACTCTGAACCGAGATCCGAACCCAAGACATGCGGGCTAGCAGTCAAACGCTCTACTATCAGTGTTTCTTCCAGACTTTTTTCTCCGGGGGGGGGCACTTGAAATCTTCGGGGGCGGCGGTAAACTTTCTTCAGGGGGGGGGGGGGGTGGACACTGTTAAAAGTATATATTTTCTATATAAATTATATAAATTTCATTTCGTTCGGGGGGGGGGGGGCGGTAAAAATTTTTCGGGGGGGGGGGGGGGGGCTTCGACCCCCCCCCCCCCCCGAAGAGATGCCTGGAAGAAACTCTGTCTACTATTTGACCACGACGTCCCGTCTACTTACCCCATCATACTGGGCTTTACAGTCAGGCCAGATGGCTGTAAATGTGTTTGTCCCTTTACGTGTAAACGTGACCTTACAGTCATCTCTTGTGACCAAGTCATCAAAAGTCAACTTCTTGACTTGGCCAAGTGTGAAAGGCTTGGACCTATTTAGTTAACAATTAAATATATATATATATATATATATATATATATATATATATATATATATATATATATTATAAACAATAAATATAATTATGAATATCAATAATTATTTATCACTTAGAAAATATGCGTAAGATTAATTCACTATAGTAGCCAATACTTGAATTGAAAACCTACATGTCGTTAGGAGGAGAGGTGATGTTGAAAGTTTGAAGGTAGATCTGATTGTTCTCTTCTTCCCATAGTATGCAGAACTGTCGACGGATTAGAGAGTTTTCCCAATACTCTTCCAATAAGTAGGTCACCGCCTGAAAGGTTGCGGAGAAATAGGGCTGGTAAGTAGGTCACCGACCAGTTCTATGGCTCATGCGGGTTTTATTGAGCCGTAGAGCTGGTTGGTGACCTACTTACCAGCCCTATTAGATCACAATTACAGGTAAACTGTGTCGTCAAATATCGATACGTTTGTTTTATTTGCTGACTTGTTATTGATCATGCGTCTGACCAATAGAATGCATGGTTGCTTATCACAACGTTATTTGACATTTAGATTGATGAACAACGATATCAAACTCTACAAAAATAATCCGGAAGTAATCTCTCCTATTCAAGGGCAAACGAGGCTCAATAGTCGGGGACTGCAACACAGCTAGGTAAGAAAACTGCAACATGAAACTACTGTTATCTTATTGTTTGTTCTTGAATGGACAAAAAGGCTACGGAAGCAAATCCAAAAAGAAAAGAAGGCTAAAATAGGTGTCACAGAGCCATATGGAGCATGACATTTTTACACGTTATATTTAATAAGGTTGGAGGAAATCCCATTTAACTTAACAAAGATCGAACAAGAAGAATTATAAGAGGTTCCCCTAAAAACACATAAAGGCAAAAAGTTCAATTTATATTCTTGTCTACTTCCCCTCCTAGATCGAAATGTCTAGGTAGATCGGGTCGTAACAACATCCGAGAACAAACTACAAGATATATATCTCTTGATGTTGAAATTTGATCTCATAGATGGGTTGTTGCCAGAATTTCGGAGCCCCTCCCCCCCCTCCCCCCCCCCCCCCCGAAGAAAGTCTACCGACATCCGAACGAAATGGAATTTGTATAGGAAATATATACTTTTAACAATGTCCGCCCTATTCGTACCCCCCCCCCGAAATTTTTAGTCCGCCCCCTCGAAAATTTCAAGTGCCCCCCACCCACCCCTGGAGAAAAAAGTCTGAAAGAAACACTAGTTGTTGCATCCAGCCTCATCAGCCCTAAGTCCGGACTGTTTGATTAAGCAACCAAAAGTTTTATGAGCCCGACCACGTCTACCTTTTATAAATTTTAAAAGTTATGATTTTCACGGACATAAAATCTAAAAGACCCTAACCGATAATCGTCATCAGAACAAAAAAACAAACCTACCGGCGCTAACGCTGTGACCTCTACTGGCATTATCGTCAGGTACCCAAGTTTTGGCACGTAAAGGTCAGGGTCATCGATGCTCTTGTAAGCATCCACGAGACGATGGTCGGAAAAATTCCCGTTGAAAACGTAGAGAAGTTTTAAAAAGGCTTCAGAGTATTCTGGGAACAAAGACATTTCGTATTTTTATCTGCTTTCAATTGGCGGAAATAAAAGTTCATTATTTTAAAATATATGAGACGGCTTGACCTAATGCGTTAGAGTGCTAGTCTGCAAAACCGAAAGTCTCGAGTTCGAAACCGGGTCCAAGTTAGTAGAACCTCCACCCAGCCCTGATGGGTACCTCTCATGTTAGCATCGCTCAATGGACCGCTAGCTCTAAAGGGGATTCTCTACTTTCCTTTTTATTATAAACTGCAAGCAACCCATAGCAAACATAGAAACATATGCATTGGGAATAGGAAAGATTCTGTTCTCTCCCCCTCCCTCCTACAAGGTTAATGTCGGCTCAAGCTAGTGTTCATTAACCAAGTAGACAGGAACAGGGTTAAAACTCGAGCAGTTCTTCTATCAAGTTACCAGCACCTTAAAAGTTACCATCACCTTAACACGTGAGTTTCGGTCAGACTTTAACTTCCTCCCCATATGAATCTCATCACTTTGTTTGGACAAAATAGGCAGTTTGCTCACGAAATGACCTATAGACTCGCGACTTTCGGCTAAACTTGCGTGCGGTCTACCGCTTGTCAACTCGGTACCCACGAGATCCTGACCTACCTGGATCTTCTGGAACTTGGTCGTCTGCTGTGCTGCAGGATAGAAGCATGAAGACTGTCAGACACCAAATAAACACCATTCTCGGCAGTTTGTTGTGTACGTTTGTGGCGAGTAGTTACACCCAGCTAGAAACTTGTGAGTTATATAGCTTACGTGTCAGTATTTTTTACCTATTGGGTTATTACAATACTAAACCATTAAGCTAATACTTGTAATTTCTGATTACATTAACCTCCATTCTTTCAAGGGTTTAGCTTGAAAACCTGTTAGCTGAAATCATGCACATCAGTTAATCCTCGTCTGAAGATAACATTATACAGGTTTAGATATTATGATTTATCTATCATCATCGGTTTAGATTGTATTAGTCACTATCTTTCATCTTCTTTGTTTGTTTATCCTGGATATCATATTTTTAAGCTACTTGTCGTAATTCAAAGCACATGAACATAAACACAGCATGTGTGTACATTGTAGCACAACTTTTGTCTACCTTCTCACACAACTTCTGTACAGAGTTTCTTCCAGGCATCTCTTCTGGGGGGGGGGGGGGGGGGGGGGAGTCTACCGCCCCCCGAACGAAATGGAATTTATATAGAAAATATGTACATTTAACAGTGTGTCTTCGTCGTCCCCCCCCCCCCCCCCCCCGAAAATTTCAAGTGCCCCCCCCCCGGAGAAAAAAATCCTGGAAGAAACACTGCTTTTGTATACCTACTCACACAACTTTTGTCTTCCTATTATCACATCTATTGTGTACTTCTCACATAATGTTTGTCTGCATGACCACACATTTTTTGTAGCTACTGAAAAAAAAATGTCGGTCTACCTTCTAACACGTCTGTCTTCTTGCCATATACATAGTATCTACATGTTCGCATAACAGATTTTTAGAGATATTTAAATACACTATATATTCTAAAATATTTTTAACTATAATTTAAAATTATTCCGTTGATACAATCGTGTAAAAAGATAACTGCCAGCTCTCCTTGTGTATTTGAATGTTTACCTACTTTGTGTGTTGAACCCTTTTCTGTATCTATATATATGATTCTCTTCTGGGAGACGCTAGAAAACAAGCTGTAAACGCGCTCCCTACCACCCCCACCCCTACATGGTCTGGTGAGCTGTGGTTCACGCTAAATAAATGTTTACAAGCAGAGCCGGGTTTAGTGACGACTATTAGGGGCAGATAATTTAGTTTGAAACGATTTTAAACGTAGGGGGAAGGGGGTGGGGGGGGGGACTAAGTGGAGTTTACTTTATCGGAGGGGGGAAGGAGGGGGGGGTTATCGTCCTTAACGAGCTACTTATAGTGTTTTAAAGAAATATTTTCAGTGGCAGCGTTGGTACTGTCAAATTCACAAGTTATGAATTACTGAATAGTAGAAAAAACAACTAAATAGCGGCGTATGATATGCCGCGGGTCGGCCCGTAATATATAACAAGTGAAGTCTTGGTAAAAAAAACACAATCTGACAGCTATAGTAGGGGAGATAATAAGTCTCTTAAAAAGGTATATGTAAGCTTTTATAGAACTACACTCATGATTTTAATTTAAAAATTCAACCAATTTTTTAAGTTTAGTATTACGTTATTTTGCTTTTCGTTTGTATATATAATCTTATCTGCTATCGGATTCAAATATATTATTAACACAAATGCTATAAACTAAACCATAAAGATAGTTCGTAAATACGGAGTTGATATAGAAAATAAAATTTGATGGTGTAGTAAATTTTTTATTTCTTCTTCTGTTATTTCCTTTACTAGGATACCGAATAGTGTGCCATAAATGAAATGTATACAATGCACTCTGTCAGGGTCAACAACCTATTGAGCCAAAAGTTACAATTAACAAAACTTTCCAGTTTTTAATGAGTCACTAACATTTTATTTCAATATAATGGCTTTTAATTAGGATTAGGTGAATAAATGTTATTTTTATTTGAAATAAATAGCTTTATATATAAAACGATATTTATTCATAAATAAAACATACAAATGTTTTGCACAAAACAGACTAAAGTATTTTAGCTACCTCTGTTCTGATAAAATTAGTAATTAATTAATATAACTATAGGACTTTCCCAATCAGAGTTTCTTCCAGGCATTTCTTACACCCCCCCAACCCCCGAAAAAATTCTAACCCCCCCCCCGGGAAGTTTCAAGTGCCCCCCCCCCCCCCGGGGAAAAAAGTCTGGAAGAAACACTGTTCCCAATCCATTTTAGAAACTAATGCATTTTTTGTCTTTCTTTACGGCTCAGGAGGTGTCTCCAATAGCCAGACAGGCCTCAGCACGGCAAACTCCGACTAACTGGCTTGGATATCGTTTTGATTACTGTATCGTTTACTTCAGTCTTTCAGTTCACACAAGGCTTATCTTCCACCCTTCTCGTACCCCACCGTCCAGTACAGGCCCAAACGTAGGAAGCTAATAACTAAAAAAACGAAGTCACTTGGGTCTAATTAATGAATGCTGACCAGTGTTTCTTGTTTCTTCCAGACTTTTTTCTCCGGGGGGGGGGGGGGGGGGTGCACTTAAAAATTTTGGGGGGGGGGGGGGGGGTGGCGGTAGACTTCCTTGGGGGGGGGGGGGCGGACACTGTTAAAAGTACATATTTTCTATATAAATTATGTAAATTTCATTTCGTTCGGGGGGGGGGGGGGGTAAATTTTTTTTCGAGGAGATTCCTGGAAGAAACTCTGATGCTGACAGATAAGGAAATGCATTCTGAATAAAATAATATTTACTATTGAACGCTATTTGAAAACGCAGAGAAGTTTTAAAAAGGGTTCAGCGTATTTCCGTTGATGTAAATTAAAATACGTGTTTATAAAATGTAAACACCAATATAACATACAATTTGAAAAAAAAGCAAAAAAACATTAGTAGGGCCTATATTGTCATACTTGGAACTTCCTGATCTTGGTCGTCTGCTGTTCTTAAATGAAAATTGTTAGACACCATTACTCGGAAAATGTGTTACGTAATCATGCGACTAGTAGCTATACCCAGTTAGAAACATGCAAGAATTGTATATATGTTACGGTCAAAGCCCGAAGTGCGGCCAAACCCCGGATTGGCCGGCCAATGCGCGGATTGGCCGGCTCTCTTGGCCAAAGCCCGAAGAACTTAGAACTAAGATCGTATTTCGTACATTGGCCGGCCAATGCGCGCACTGGCCGGGACGTACTGGCCAAAGTCCGAAGTGCTTACGGGGGCCAATGTTCTATCTAGACTAAGTTGTGATCGCGTTTTCATTATTCTGGGTGCGGTTTCACTGTGAGTAACGTATTGTTTAGCTCTTGTTTGTATAGCATCCACGAGGATGGAAAAAGAGCCCAAGAGAAAGTACAAAAATATCACCAAAGAAATCATTACTATGTATCTTCGGTTGTGCAAGCCTTGTCAGACAAAATTGTCTAATCCCAAGAAAGGTCTTGTTTCCAAACCTTTGATATTTAAAGAATTTAACTCAAGATGCCAAGTAGATCTTATAGATATGCAAAGTAACCCAGACGGCAAATACAAGTTTATACTCAGTGTAACGTTAACCTATCTATCAGCCAAATAGAAGGAGAACGTCCCCGGATTCTTTTTTCGGGGTCATATGCAAATGCCTTACGGCCTAAGTGGATGAACACTTAACACAACGACACACTAGGGCTCGAAATTAATGTCTAGGGAAGCTAGTGATACAATTGTAATTAACACTCATCCAATCTACATACGACCTTTTAATCAGCGAACACAGATGTGGTAGAACACAAAGATGAACTAGATAAAATATTTAATCTATAAAATATCAAAAACCCAACTTACAAAATGCAGGAAAAAAACACTATCACAGATTTCTACACTGTCTAAAGAACAGCTACAGGCCACACAACACTACTGTAGCTTCAAGACTTACTTAGCGACAAGTAATATTAAACTAGAAGACTAAATCAACTGAAGAAAGCAAGGCACACACAGGTCTTAAGTACTCTCACGTTCAAATGGTCAGAGTCTATAGCCGGACAATATGGACGGCTGCCTGATAAAGGTAAAACAGCCTCGTAGACTGCCAGGTCAAGATAAACTGCCTCGTGTTGCGAGTGTGCGGGGCAATTAAAGACTTCTGTGACAGGGGAGGTTATCCTCAACTCATGTCACCATTGGTTGGGATAATCATCTGATCAGAATCATTCAATCAGATTTTAATGGAAATTTTCTATGTCTCAAACACCTTAATAGTCAATGGAAAAACCCCAGGTGTTACACCATCATTCCATATAAGGAATTATACAATGTCAAAATAAAAATGACTCGACCTAAGTAGGTCACATCCCCTCCCTTTTTGGAAGTGACAGATAGGTTCCACAAAAACATACATAAGGAACCAATCTGACAATGAAAATAAAAAAAAAATGTTTTACAAATGTAAGCAATCAAAATCATAATACCAGATGAAAATATCCCTGAACATAAAAGGGAAGTAACTCCAACTTTTACAATTGGTGAAAGGGGAGTAACCCTTCAAAAAGTAATTATACATCAAAATCCCTCAAAAAAGGGTATTACAATTTTTCCATGAGGATATTAAAAGTGGTAAACCCGCCAGGGTAAGACCTTTATTTCAATGACTAGCTACAATATCAATTGAGTCATATGAGACATATTATTATAAAAGATTACATAGAATCAAAAACCACCTTTAATTAAGGTTCACCTGAAAATAAACCAAATATTCAACAGGATTGGAATTTTAAAAAAAATTCAAAACTCACACCACTCATTTTCATATGAGTGACACTCAAACAAAACCTGTTTATGGTCCTAATGAACCACAAAGCCTGTCACATGATCAATGTGTACAACAAGATTTTACATCCTTGACAAACAATCAGCCACAACATTATCACTACCCTTAATGTGTGAAATTTCCAGATTAAAATTTTGGAAATATAAGCACCATCTCAATATTCTTTGATTTGTCTGTCCTAACTTAGAGGTAAATTTCAGGGGATCATGGTCAGAAAACACTCTGACTGGATTGGTTGAAGAAGAGACATAGACTTCAAAATGTTGTAATGATAAAACCAAAGCTAAAGCT